ANAAAAAAAAAAAAAAAAAAAAAAAAANAAAGAAGGTTCAATGAGAAAGAAGTCGTGCAGAAATTCCGAACTGACATTGACAGTCCGCGTACGTTGTGTGTGTGTATGTGTGTTTGTGCTAGATCTTAGCTTACGATATATTTTATGTACGAAATGTATAAATATATTATATTCGATGAAGATGCGCAAATATGTAAACAAAAACATCGCGAAATATGAAGGTGTCTGTTGTAATATCACAAGACGAGCGAAAATATATTATTTCCAAAATGGTCAACATCATAAAGAGTGTTTCTCAACATTATAAAAATTACAACTCACATATCTCGGCTCTCAAACCTCTTCACATCCCTAAACAGAAACTGTGCTACAAAGTAGCTCCATCATCGAGCAATAATAAAAAAAATAAAAAAAAAAAAAAGAAAAGAAATCGTGTATCTTCTCGGAATCAATTCCGATCGGAGTGTGTTCGACTATATCGATTTGTAAAAAAAAAAGGTAGAAAAAAACGACAGAAGTCGAAATCGTTTCCGAATCGAGATCGATTCAAGCTACACCAATAGCTACCCGGTAATACTAAACTGATAGTCGGGGTCACGAATATTATTAGTGACCAGTATTAACAATAAGTATACACCGAATATATATATATATATATACATGTGTATATATGTATTACATGTATATTATGCATACGCATGTATGTATATGTATGTATACATGCGTATGCATAATACATGTATGAATTATATGTACATGTATGTATATATATAGGATACATATATGTACTATATGTACATATATATAATATACATGTATGTACAATACGTATGTCCTTTTCTGACGTTCGAGTAACAATAAACTTATTGCGTGTTGACCAGATCTTGCATAAATGTAATTTTTTTTTCATAAAAAAACATTTTTATTATAATTAACATCTCTTGTATCTTATATATATTATTTTTACAACGTTGATTAAATAAAATTATATTTTACATTGTCTTTATTTGATTTAACGTGTCTTTTTGTTATAGTTTGATCATCATAATTTTCCAAGTCAAACATAAATAGGAAATAAAGTTTCAATAGACATTCTATCTGAACCTATTGCGCTTCTTTAGGTCCTACTGAAACAGAATTTTTAATACTAGATTAGTGAAAACAGAAACTTCAACCGCTTATAGGCTTAAAATATAAATAAATTATCCTCGCAGTTGAACCTTCTTTACTGTATGTGTGTGTGTGTCTTAACTGCTATTTTACATACACATTACAATGTGTGAAAGATTTAGCATAGGATCAAAATTTTGACTCAAAATAATCACCGATGCAAAATAAACACCGCGCGCGTCAGAATCTCAGCTTTTGATTATTGCAACAAAAAAAAAAAACTTTGATCCCCGGAAGAGGCAAACTAGTTTTTTTTTTTTTTCTAACAATTGCGCAGCGTTGTTTGTCTAATTCCTGCAGCGCAAAGAATTATTAACCAAAGTCTAATCGCACGACATAGATTTTTCATTCAAGTTTTATTTATTTAGCGCAAGCTTGCTCCGGTATATCGTTTATATACGGCTTGAACAGACTCGGTTGACCGATCTTCGTGGTCGATGTCGATGAGGGTATTGCCGTGGTAGACACGCTGTTGTACGCGCTCGGTCTGCTCTCGACGCGCGAGATCGGTGACAACGTCATCATGGGTATACTCATACCGTTCGGTAATCTAAGCGGCTGCTGTTCTCCACTGATCCGGTGATCCCGCAGCGGCGGATTCACGAGCGCGTGATGCGAGTGATACGAGTGCACAGCACCGCCGCAGTCGCAGTCGGATTCCGGGCTGTTGGAGGGCGTGTTGACCGGGCTGAGATCGGCGGTTTGCAGTACCGCGGGCTGGCGGTACGCGCTGCTGCTGGAGGGGATAGTGACGTTCGAGAAGGCGGTATTGGAGCCAGGCACGCCCAAATTAAAAGATAAGGGTGCGAAGGATAACGCATGCGACGGATACGAGTTGACGCGCGGATGCGGTCGCGGCAGCATGGGATACGGTGTGTATCGCGACGCGTAGAGAGCCGCCGCGGAGTACGACGTCGCCGAGGGTGCCAGGTGCGCGGTCGCCGGCAAATTCGGCGCGCTGTAGAGCGCGGATGGCAATGTCGCGGCGGCCGCGGCGATCATTGACGCCGCGAACGACGGGTCGTACATCATCGCCTGAAGCGGTCCCACTGCTAGTCTCTGTCTCTTGTCTTTCATCCGTCTGTTTTGAAACCACACCTGTAATTATAAGAGTCGCACGTTTTATTAATCACGTGGCGAAATTTCGCGTTATGTTTGTAACAGACTTGCGCAAACAATCTGTATGTATTGAAAATTATTTATGTCAAACAGAGTCGGTAATTGAATACATTTTTGTTCTGATTTTCGAAGCAAATTAAGTACAAAGAAAGTCAAGATAGACGCAAAATGAATCTTTGCTACACAAGAGACGCATCACATATACACATGTATAAAATAAAAATATACAAAATATGTAAAAAAAAAAAAAAAAAAAAACATCTAATCGTGACTTTGATCTTTTCGCAATTAACCTTGTTGAAAGAGAATTATAAAAATGAATGCACAAAAAAAAATGAAAACAACAAGCATTTTGGCGTCGCGACGCGCGCGTACAATTTTAAATATCGACACACACGTGTGTTCGCGAATGACAATAGAGAATTCCCGGAGGCGGCAAACGATTATACCGGTAATTCGTGCAGGACGTTTACCGCCGTTTAACACCTCCGCCATTCTCTCTCTCGCTCTCGTACGTGTTGTGCTCTCCGCGTGCAATACGTTTTACGACCGGTCGAGCATAGCTGCGAGAGAGAGTCCGGCGCGGGACGAGAAATTAAGAGATCCATTAAAAGACTGAGGTGGGCCGCGAGGTAGTTGCTAATTGAGACGTTTAACACTTTCGTTCGACCGGATTGACCGGTTTTTCACGATCCCCAGGACCGTAATCGCGAACCGACGGTCCCCCGAGACATTAATGCAACAACTTTACAAGCGCGTGTACGTACGCGTATATATCAGGCGCGTTGCGTGTTACATATGTGGATCGTCTATTGCGAGATCTCTTTCTCTTTTTTTCGTAAAATAAAAACGTTACACGGCACTGTTTGGAACACACACGCGAGAAGAAGAAGATCAAAGGGTTATCGAGCGAGAGACCAAAGAAGCTACACAGTGCTGAACCTCTTCCGAGGTTATAATCGCCGAATCAAACACGCTCGCAGCTGGCCGCAGCAAGAAACAACCGGTAGCTCTTGGGAGGCGCGAACAAAAAAGATCCCCGATTGCTTCTATCAAACGCTCGGTGTCAGAAGTCGCTTGTCTTTCGGGAGGTAAAGCGACCGCGATCACGTAGAAAAACCGTGAGAAATCAAATCGGGGTACGGATTCGAATGATAAACTTGCAAAATAATTCGAATACACTCGTACAAAACAGACGAGTTAAGTAACGAGGAAGAATTTACGTCTTTGGGAAAGAGGCGAAACAATATAATAGTTTTCGGAAACAATACGGAAACAATATAATAGTTTTCAACCAAAAATTGTTCTTAAACGCGGGAAAAAAAATATATATATTGTACGTAATAAATAATCGTTGCAATTGCTTGAAAGAATTTTGCGATGATTTCTCGGCGTTGATTAAGTACTCGAACGAAAGTGTTAATGGGAAGATGAAGTCACTGTTTGCAGAATATCTCGTAAAAACACATTTGCTCATTCTCGATTAGCCATCTTCGATGCGGCATTCATATCGATACGACGTTCAATCTAAATACGGAACAATCGCGACGAATTCGAAGTAGTACAATAAGTATTGTATAATAAGCGTCTTACATTTTTTTATAATAATTACCTTAATTTGTTTCTCGCGTTCCATCAGATCACTCACCTTGATCGTGGATTCGGGCAGATTGAGCTGAGTGGCCAGCTCGCAACGCCTCGGACGACTCACGTAATTCTCCCTTCGAAACTCGAATTCAAGTTTCTCGAGCTGGTCTTTCGTAAAGGCGGTCCTGTATCTTCTGACGTTCGGATCCGCGGGCGGAATCTGTCTCGGTTCCGGCGCCGGATTATGCATCTCTTGTTGCGACTGTTGTTGTTGTTGTTGTTGACGCTGCTGATGCGGCGGTTCTACGAATTAAACAAAAAACGTGATCTTTTTTTATGATATTATCTCGAAACAGTATTTGGAGGAGGAAGACCTTAGAAACATTGAAATGTACAAAAACTCGCTTAGAAAAAAATAAAACTTTAAAATAAAATAAATAAATAAAAATAAAATTGATGGAAAAATTATTTGAAACCGATTCATCTCGGAGTGATTTTCAGTATTATTTTTATTTTTCCTTCAAAAAAACGTAAAGAAAAAACTAAGTAGGAACAAAGTGAAATTATTCCGATCGGAATTAGTAAATAATATTTTCTCTTTTCTACAAAGAGTCTATTATAGAGTTCCATTATAAGATTCGACGTTTCACAAAATATATTACCAAAAAAAAACACCCTTCACACATTTTAGAACGTAGTGTACACGGTAATAAATTAAGGCCAAAATAGCTTTTTAAGTGGGTAAAATGACATTGTTGTACATAATGCAAGTTTACGTTAAGGTTTGTACATTGTGAAACAGAATGAAAATACAGAACATTCTTCGTCTAGACATCCGTTTCAAAGAGAGAAACCGTAGTTTTTGTTATACATATTTTACGGTTAAGGAAATATTCTTTTGACTGGCAAGTGCCAGCGGGGAATCGCATTTACAAATGTGAAAACGAGAAATGAACAGATCAAAATAATTGTAACTCTTTCGGTTTTTTAAATAGCAGCAAATATTCATTACATTTTCCTTGCAGTTCGCAGATTTGAATAAACGCAGAAACACACTCTCTTTCGGATTTTATCATCGTGCACAATAATAATAAAAAAAAAGAAAAAGAAAAAAAGAAAATAAAATTCACGAAAATTGTCGCATTTCGAATAACATAGTAAATAAAAAAAAAGATGCTATTAACTGAAAATAAAATAAAGTAAATTAATTGAACGTTTATTTCTCTCTTTGATTTTTAATTTGCAAATAAAACAGGCAATTCCACGGAATCGAACTATGAACTTTTTAAAAAATTTATGTTTGTCATTCGTTTATTTTAAATCGTAAATTACGACGCTGTAGAGATATACGGACACCAAACATGTTAGAACGCTTTTGTTTCGACGTAAAAATAAACAAGCTCGAATAAATACGAGGTTTCGCATTTTTCTCCAAAAAAAAAAAAAAACTTTATTCTACAGTTTTATACAATGAAATTTACCAATGTCGGTAGGCGATCTCGATACATTGCGTTGTGGATTTAACACATGTGGCATGAGATCGACAACTATCGGTTCCTCTTCCCGACCCTCGTCCCTTACCGGCTCGTCTTCACACGTGTTGCAATAAGTTGCTTGCATTACTACCGTTCGCACAACGAAAGGATATCTAAATTTATTATTTTAATATTATTGCATTGCGTGGATCACATAAAAGTATTCTCTAACACATGCGTATTTTAATTTTAAGTAAAATTTAATTTTATAATAATTTTAATTTTAAATAATTGCTGTTATGTGTCTGTTTACTATGTTTCCGCGATGTTTTCGCAATTCTTTTAACTTAACGCGATTTTCTATTTGTTCTTGCGCGTGTTAAGTGAAATAATCTACGATCGCACAAGCTCAATTCATTTCGATTTTTTAAAATTTTCTTTCAAATTTATTTTCGATTTAATTGTAGATTATTGATTTTCACGCACATCATCACACAAATTACGTCAATTATGAAAAAAATCGTAAGGTTACGCGAGAAGATATTTTGAAAGAAAGTAAGAAATGTATAGCAGAAAAAAAACGACAGTCCAAGGCCATCGAACATTATCAACATAAGCGAAGTATTTTACGCGAGAGTGACTACTCGTATAAATGTTTCATGATATTGTACTTATTTGAAACTGCTGTATATAAATATAAATATATGCAACTAGATGTTGTGAAAATTATTATTATACAAGTACATATATGCATATACACACGCGCGCACAAAATTACGCTGTACAAATATGTGCAAATACACACAAATATGTGCAAATACACACAAATATATAGAATAATTATAAAAATAACCGCGCGGGCGCACACACTCACGGCATTTTATTTTTCTATCTAGAGCGCGCACTTGTGTGTATGTATGCATACATATTTACGTAATATAATATCACTTTATTATAATTACCACTTTATGCTCTCCGAAAAAGATTTTCAACGGCGGTTTTCTTTTTACGATGTATTATTACCAATTATTCGCCAACGTCACTGTATTACACACTTATGAATTATATCAAATACGCAGAACCGTTCGCACGAAGATGCTTAAACAGAACTAAGTCACTAAGTACTGTGGCCAGGAATATATCACCTATCGTCTACCTCCATTGCCCATCCGCCGTGGTATCCGATTGGCTGGCGTCTCAACTAGCTCGTTGTGCTCATCCCTTCCAACTGAGGGGTGGCGCCTATCTCGTCACAGACGAGCTCGGTGTTGCGCAACTTAACGTGTGTTGGTGGAAGGGACACGGCAGATGAATCGAGTTATGCTTTTTGTAACAAAGTTACATAACAATTTTGTCCCATAAATATTTACTTGAGCAGCTTTTGATAAAGATGCACTTGATAATTTTTATTCTAATTTGTATATTTTTTATATATTTATATATAAGTTATATGATAAAATAATAATAACAATTTGTAAGTTTATATTATATAATAAATTACGTATGTATAAATTATATATGTAAATTTTTTTAATACAGTAATTTCAAAGTAATAATATACTAACATTTGTTTTTCTCATAGAACGCATAATAAACGATTCCGATTTACTTTCACATCGTAAATCACTCATCGTAAATCACATCGTAAATTACTGTCACATCGAATTATTAATTTGCAATATTATATTTTAGAATAGCTTTGAAGATAATCAAAACTAAAAGGAATGATCGAAACGTCTCTTCACCTTATCTAATGAGAGTTTTTGAATTTAAAAAAAAAACTACTACCACTGGTGGACTATTGGCTTAGGTTTATTTTACTTATTATCGATTTGTATTCATTTACTTTTTTTTTATATCATTGTCGTTGCAGCGTAATCACGTTTTGTCTTAGAAAATTCACGCGTGTTGTGTTACAGGAGACAAAAATTAACAAGATTAAATTTTGCTTAGTCTTATTCGTATTTTTGCAAATTTTCTTGTTTGCCGTTCGAGATGTAATTTATAAAAAAATCTGTTCTACTTCAAACGACATTTACCTGTAATTGTACTATGATAGTTTATAGTATTGTAGCATTTGTTCACATAATACCGTGTTATAGTTGCTTCAGTACCGACCGTTTCTTATGAATTTTCAAGTACCGTTATATATTTCTGTGTCATAAACTACGACCGGTCTCTTAAAACTAGAACATCTTTTTTTCTTTCGTTTCCCAGACCAAACTTTGATCTTTTTTTTTTCACGAGAATTATTACAGTTAACTATCGCAAACTTTAAAACTAGAACGTGTTACACTTATTCGTGCTGGTCACACGTGTTAATCACGAATTTACTGCATATCGTATATCTGTCAAAAACAAAAAAAGCCAAAGAAAAAGGCACGGGAAACGTGTAAAGGCGAAATCACTGGGAGAAGTCTCTCTCACATTTAATACACAGGCTACATTATTGCGCATAATCTTTTGTGTGCATTTTTTTTTTTTTTTGATATATTTTTCTGAATTTTTTTTGTACACCGTTTAAGTTACATCCTTTTATCTGATTTGCTTTCGATATGAGTCAGTAGATTTTGGTTAATTTTTCGTGTGTGTGTTCGCCTTTCCCGTTGTTCTTCCTTTCCCGAATTTCGCGTTCAGAGTTCAGGCACACACGTACACACGCACGCGACACACACGCACACGCAAATATTCCCTTCCTCTATTTAGTTCGTCAGTTATATGGTGAGGGGTGACGCGGTGCCCCGGATCGAGAGGGGATAATTGGTGCGAACAGCTCGGCCAGATGTGGTCGCGATCATGCCGCTGATTAAACGGTTTGATTAAGTGACTAATTTACTCGCATATACGCGCGCTGTGTAACGTTACTTTATGCGAAATCCATACGGTTCGGCAAGTACGTACGGGGCGAGGAAAATCATGACGGGACGACGTAATTAACTTTATATAGACACATTTTGTGAGAAAATATGTTTTTTTTTTTTATTTACGACGAGGACGCAAGCAGTGCTCGCACACAAGCGGTGATTTTACGCTCGCGTGATTACGATCGAGAATTGCAGAGCGCAGCCGCGCTATTTCGAAGCAACGTGCGATTAATTCACTCGTCACGAGCAACGCGATTAAGCAAATTATCAGCGAATACCTGGAGATTAGCGGCGTGTCACGAGCGCAGCGGAAAGGGTTTATTGAGACCAACAAAACGCGGTTTTATAGAGTCCGACGCGCGCCGATTGTACAAGAAAAGAAGATGCGAGCAGGTATATACAGGTCTTTTAACGATAAATTCTCGAATTAGAGGCGTTGTTCGGGGGCAAAGCCCTGCAACGTGACTTTTGACAGACCTCGTTTTCCTCATCATTAAAAAACCAAAACTTTTTATGTCATTATAAAAGTCCTATACAAAATAACTGCCAAAGTAGTAAATTAACTCTTCGCCTGCAGATCTAAGAAATGAGCTACGAATAAGAGACAGACTGGATCTGTGAAACCCACGCTACTTAAAATCGAATATCTCCGCAGAAAATCAATATTTCTCCAATTTCGTTTTTTAAATTGAAAGTTTGAACGATTTCGCGTCGATCAAAGAAAACAAATTGAAAAAATCTCCAGTAAATTCTAGAAGATACAAACGTGTTTAAAAACAACTGATTTTTACTTAGAAACGTCAATGCGCAATTTTTGAGTGAATCTGAAAGACTCGTGTCAGCGGGCGAAGGATTAACAATAAACGAAGATTGTTTTTCAAACGTTAATGAAACAAACTGAAATGTCCACAAAATGTCAGTAATAAAAAAATGACAAAGGCAGTGGCAAATCCGAAAATCATCTTTAGTAATAAATAAAGCACTTTGAGAGAAAAAGAGAAAGTGAAAGAGAGAGAGAGAGAGAGAGAGAGAGAGAGAAAGAGAGAGAAGAGGGATGTAAAAAACGATAAAAATGATAAATTCCGCGATCAAACATTCACGTTTCGTTCTGTGTGTGTATTAGCCTACAAACTACAATAAAAGCTTGGTAAATATGCTAGTCATACGAGTTCACTGAAAACAATAAGCGTCTTGCTGATACACGGGACATGGTTTTCTTTGTCAGATCTGTGTAGCTCCAGAATCTTTTCTGTGAGCAGAGAATCTCAGCGATATTTTACGCTCGAGTCGGTTAGTCACCGGGGTGTAAACTTGTATAACGCACCCCGTCGTAAAGATGTAGGTATCTTTACCATTGTAGTCAACGATTTTTAGGACGGTATTACATTGTAGCCAACGCCACTGTGTGCCTACCACATCCGAGTCGAATATATTAACGTTTCGCTGATGCGTCGGTCGGCGAGATAAAAGACCGTCTCGTTCGTCAGAAATAGAATCGCATAAGTGCTCGTGAGTACGCGTGAATGTATTAATTTCGCTTCTGTGTGGGAACGTATAATTGTGTGAGAGGATTTATGATGATCAAAACACCGATTATTTGCGAAGTCGAAGAAGTTACGAGATAAATCCACTCGCGGAGGTTCGGAAATTTTTATGAAAAACACATAAAATTGATGTAAGATTTTTTCTCTGTGGAAAAATTACACACGCGTGATAAAAGAATTTGAGAAATCAAATTGCTCTTTCGTTTTCAACAATTGCCTTGTAAAATACACACGTCGCGGGGCATTAAACTTCTCACGCGCGCTAAGGATTTTATCTCATCCCTATCTATCCCGTGTGACGCGTGTGAATGAAGATTACCGCTCGTGTTTAGTGAGATCGTGCTAATTGAGAGAACAAGTCATCGCGTCTTCCGTAACATTCGGCAACGGTGGGCAAGTGTGTCGTGTGTTTTGTTTACCTATATATATTTTATTCGTCGATTTTCATATACGGTCACACGCGTTTTGTTCGCGCGCGCCTTACACACGCGCGTCGTATTCGATCGGTTCGATCAGTTTCTCTCTTTGGCGAAGTCAAGTATATACATCTGGCCGCCAGAAATGACGAGTGCTCTCTACTTATATCGCGCGATGATGGTTCTCTCTGAATGAGATACTCGAGTTAGTTCACACAACACACCGGGCGTAAAGCGTTTCTCCTTTGGACAAATAATGTCGCGCGACTGTGTCATGAATTGTTAGCGTCTCGTCATTAAAAAAAAAAAAAAAAAAAAAAAAAATTAATTGCAAGCGAGCGTCTGTAATTTGTGAAAAACCACATGTTTTTGTAGAACAGATTTGATGAAGATAACTTGAAATTTCTATGACTGACAAATTGTGTCATTTTTGACGTCGAAGCGCTGAAAATCGAATCGTCGGGAGACCGAATAGCGGTGCGAAAAATCGTGAGATTTCAAGTCACTGTTTTTTCACGTACTCTATTCTCTATGTGATGTGTATGTGTGTGTGTGTGTGTGTGTGTGTATATGCGCGCGGAGATGTTTGCTCGTGCGCGCGTGTGTGCGCGCGCTTCTAATTATAATATAATTCCTACGCTAATGGCGCGTACCTGCTCATAGCCGCCATCATAACCCGCCAGGGCCGCGAAGCGAAGAGGGAGAATAGAGAAGAATGGATTGGGGCATATATCCTCCGAGTGTAATACGGAGCCGAGTTTATAACCGAGTTAGAGAGAAAGAGAGAGAGAGAAAAGGAAGGAGAGAAGAGAGAAGAGAGAGAGAGAGAGAGAGAGAGAGAGAGAGAGAGAGAGAGAGAGAGAGGAAGAGAGAGATCGGATCCTCCGTTTATTTCATAGACGGGAAATAACGACGTTAAACGGCGAGGTGAGCGAAGAAAACGAGGGTGGGAGTGAGAGTTTCGGGCGTTTTGATTAAATTAGGGGATGATCGCGCGAAATTAGAAACATTAAATTCTATTTCTCTCTCCCGCTTGATCTCGAGCGATGCGCAATTTTTGCCAAGGACTATTTTTAAGGTCCTACTGCCCACACACAGACACAAAACGTTCATTGTCTAATGGACATCTAATAAAAGTTCGCATGGAACGTTGTTTCGTGTGAATGATGTGGAAAATAAAATCTTCTAAGTGTTTCAAATAGAAATTTCAAAACCCCTAACACTCGTTTCGTGAAAATATAAAACTCTGTATAAAATATCTAGGA